TTTTATGCCCCTAAACATAATTTTTTTTATTTTATGACACAGACACATCGCTCTGTATCGATAATTGAAGATGATGCATGGCGCAGCACTATTCGTCATCCAAATTTCACTCATACCGCTACATTTAGTTTTTGGTCTCACCCTAATTACTCTATAGCCAATCTAATGTATACTATTTCTATGGCCAATAATACATAAATTTAAAAAATGCCCACAGCCAAAGAATATAAAATCCCAGACGTAATACATATATTATGTAATCAAACGAAAGAAATCTCCGACTTCTTTTGTTCTTCTTGATGAAAAAAACTTAGCTGAATGCGACGTATTATTTTTAGATAAGTTTTAGCTAAAACACTGAGATTTTTCAGGATTATGATTTCCTATATTTACACGAACACTGCACATTAAATGAAAACAATTTTGCGGATAGCAGCTATCAAGTTTAATTTTAACTTGTTAATTCCTTTCAGATTTTTTTTCTAGGATAGGGCGACAAACGATCACACGTCCACCTGATGGTAAGTGGTTGCTGTGACCCATAGACATCTACATCTATCCTCAATAAAGAATCAAAATGCGGATGCGTCGTCACCCATGAGGACTAAGATGGACACTCACCATACTAAACACAGCAGTGTCAAGCTGCCATTTTACGCTGAAGGTAGCCGGGCTAAGTATGACATCTTGACGTCAAACTTCTCAGTTACCCCAGTGATGTAAAGCACCCGAAACAATAGAACTTAAAATGTTAAAATTAAAAGGCATGTTTCGGAAATTGTTGGAAAGTTTTGTGTTTCCAATTGTTTGCAACTCAACAAACATCACCAACTTTTGTTGTGATCCATTGTGTCCATAACGAGTTAAAACAAGTCACCAACAATTTTAGAAACATTTCAGTTGACAACTAGCTGTCTCCACTAAAGTTTTGTTGGAAAAAATGTCTTCCATTGACGATATTATGCAAGCAGCCGCAGTATTATAACTGTAGTTTTATGCAAAAAAATGGAAGCATAAATATTGAGTGCGAACAAGCCTCAAAGGAAAAAAAGTACATGGAGTGATTGCGCCGTTAAGTACTTTGAGAAGAGATGACTTTTTAGCCCCATAGCATCGCTGAAAGTTTTCCATGCATCCTTTTTCATGATTTTATTTTTATTATTTTCATCACTCACATCCCATAGTACACTTTCTGTTTGCTATAAATCAATTAACGAATCGGTTAATTCGTTCGTTGTTATAACAGATATGTTGCTAACTAATATTTTCAACAAGCATCTCCACAGAGCGAATAAATGTTTGCAACATGCGTATTCTTATAATGTTTACCGCCAAAAATGGAAAAACGGTTTCCGACATTTGTTTAAAATTTTTCAGGTACAAGGTAATTACAGATACTTTTATCACCAACACGACTTTTTGTGAGGATATCCGGTAATACGCAATAAAATCCGTAAAATCACGGCACCGCAGAATTCAGTTTACGCGTGTTTCTTTTAATTAAACACAGGGAGCGTCGAAACTGGATATCAAATCATATAAAGTTTAGAGAGGAATATGGTGAATTAAGACAGACAGACAAGAAGTTGGGGACGTAGCGTCGGCACGTAACGATTTGAGGAGTTCAGTTTGTATCAAAATATCGCACGGTTGATTAAAAAAGTATTTATAGTATGAGATATAATATATATTGCATTTCAGTGTAAACAGCATCATGAAAAAGTACAGTGAGCGATATTAATTTATATCTCGAGATATAATATAAATTACATTATATCGCATAGTGAAAAGCAAGCTTTATAGTTCCACAAACTCTGTTGCAAAGATTTGCCCGACTAACAATCGGATCACGGACATATTCTAACCCAACTAAAATGTAGCGATTATATACTCTCTGGATACGACTTACGCTTCGATAGTACCAAACTCACATGAATATGGAGTTTAGAGTACAAGGAGAACCATCTTATAAGGGGCGATAGTTAAAAAAGTGTCCTACTATTTACTGAAAATAGAGGTTCCAAAACCTACCACAATAGCGCTGGCGTCTGAAAAACTACGATATGAATATAGCTGTTGTAGACGGAGTGAAGTCAGCTGAATTCAAATATTCGAAAAATTTCATGACCGACATGAGTAGTTAGTAAAATGCCAGTATACAAAACCTCAACTATTTACGTAGTACAAAACGAAGCGGATTGGTCGGTCCTTGTTTATTTCTCCATCTTATTCTAATTAATTTTGGCGCTTTTTTTTTAATTTATCCTATGCTACTGCAGCGCTACCCTTATTAGACGCGTTTTTAGGGACACTTTTCATGTAAGGAGATGGTCCTCCTTGTACTCTACACTCCATACACATGAACTAGAGTGCGCGCAAGATAACTCAGCGCTTAACTTATATCTTTTTCCTTCGTTTAATCTTATTACTAGAATTGTATAATTATATCAAATAACATAAATTACCTAATTGACTACTAAAGTTCAGTTAAAAAAAACTGTAATGTTCAGCTTAAACTTACAAATACCTAATAATTTTTTGAACCCTATATTTATTGTTTAAGATCCGCATAATAAATATATTTCTTGATTCTATCTTTCGTAAGTTTGATACTACACTACACAAGTTTAACTACACAACTACATTTTTTTTACATAATTACAGGTACCGTATATATGCGTGTATAAAAAGGACTAATACTAAGATTAATGACTACTGATATTTTGTCTATAATTAATTTTTCCAAAGAGGTATTTTGAAACATCTGAAATAGCATTATAATATTTATTATAAAGAACAAATAAAAAGTCCAAGGAAACCTTGTAAATCTTTTATTGAATTCCTAGTATTATTTATAAATTTGGAGTAACAATGGTCCCGCAGTGGGTCAACGCCTTCCATTCGCATATCTTCATCAGAATCCATGCTAGAGTCTTCATCAGATAACTCGGATGTGTCACTTGTAACTTTAATTACAAATTTATCCATTTCCATATCCATCAGCCTATCTGATTGGAAATATTTATCTTCTATTTTTTCTACATGTAGGCATACGTTGAACCATTCCTCTGCCGTTACTGTTCTAAACGCCGCCTCAGTAATAGCAACTATTTCGCTAGGAGCTTGTGTGATATTTTTCTCTGCAATGCGTCTCTTTACTGTTGCCCAAATTTTTTCAATGGGATTTAAATCGCAGTGGTAAGGCGGCAAACGGAGAACCTCATGTCCATATTCATTTAACATTTGTTCTATTTCGTACTGTGGGTCTCCTTTGTGTTTTTTTAATTAATTCGTATAATTGCGCTATTGTCCAACAATCTTCAAATTTAATACCATTTCTCGTAAGCCATCCTTGGAGTTCTGCTTTTGTATTGCCAATTGTAGGCGGCTTGTTGATCTGTGTGCAGTGGTATGACGCATTATCCATTACTACAATGCAATTCGAAGATTCGGCACAATTTTTTCTTTCATCCACCGCATGAAGTTAGAGGAAATCATATCTTCATGATAGTCATTCGATTTGGAGTTAGACCTGAACAGCAGCAGTCCGTTTTCAACAAACCCAGTTTTATCTCCACCATGGGCTATTATCCATCTTGCACCGACGCTATCAGAAGCAAGAATACCAGGCTGTTCCTCCGATTGCCAACATTTTTGAAGGTGGTATGGAGCATGTATATACGTTTCGTCAACATAAATGACCGGTCGATTTTCTTCCTGACAATTCTTGCGCAACCTCAGAATATATTTTGCTCTCCAAGCTGCAATATCACTGCGTTCTACCAATACTTTTCGTTTAGACTGGAACCTTTTGTATTTGTAGCCCATAGTTTTTAAAATACTCCTTAATGATGTTCTGCCATATTTAAAACCAATATCAGTTTTCAATTCCAACCAAAGTTTATTTATGGTAGGAATCCTTCTTCACGACAACGATTGAATTAAATGCCTTATAGCGCACATATCGAAATCGTCTAAATCATAATTTTTTTTCCTCCGGTTACTAGTTTTTCCCGGCGTCACAATTTTAGAAGATGAAGCTTCTGCAATATTACCCTCTTGACTTATCTGGGTTACGGTGCGTTCAGAAACATCTAAAACAAAATAAAAACAATGTATTATAAATACATGATATTAATGACACGATGAAACTAAAAACGTACAAATAGAGAAAATTGGGGAATTTTATTGTTATGGCATCCCAAAAATTACCAGTTAAATATGCAACGCGGGCTCTAACTTTGGAAAACGGTACTATAGGCCCGTTATTGTCTCGTTCTTCTTCACAAGCATGTTTGACCTTCAAAATAACATCCCTGCCAGCATTTTTAATCACTTTCGGCATAATGATAACGATTAATTACTGCAAAAATGAATAAAAACACGACACCTACCACTCTGTTCAGACACTTGCCATAAACAGTAAGATGGCGGCACACGATTAGTTGCTATTTTGGCCGCGCGCAGAGTTATCTTGCGCGCACTATATCTCTTTTATACGTGAATCAAGAGTTCGCTATTTCAGTACGCAATTCTTCTGAAACTTACAAAGGATCTGTGGTAGTACTGTGCCCAAGTCTAAAACCATCTTGATATACTTATAACTTGATCTAGATTTATTTATTTTAGACAGCGGATTAATTAATGTTTTTCCCCAAATTGTAGGAAAATCCCCAGTCAAGTAATTAATGATAGGAGCAACAATAGGAGTAACTTATTCTAGTTGACTTGAACTGTCGTCAAAATCTTCGAAGAACTTCGCTATGTGACTCATCAGCTAATTGTGAAAATTTGATGAACAAATTAGCCTAGGCTGTACGGTCTAAAATCTTTGCCTGCCTTTATTGGCGAATATAATAACAATAAAATTAATTCAAATTTCAAATTTCAAATTTCGTTCGTTGCACTTGCTGTTGCTGCCGTCTGCTTATCAAAAGCACTTTGTTACTTTTTCTAAATCTATTCTAATATTCTTGTTACATAAGTTTTTACAAATTAGCATGGCTGAAAAAACGCATACGTCAAGAATATCGTCCTACAAAAATGCAGGACATGGTACAAATGTAAGTGAACCTTACTTATGAAATATATTCTGTATTATTCCCCTTAAATGGGAAGATGACATTTTAACCTAGTTATAATAGTTTCTAGCTTATTCACTCTCAGGGAAATATACTTTTACCCTCATCCCCCCACATCCGATCTTTTGTTCATATTCATAATTATTTGTAATCCCGCATGCTTCACGATTTTTTTTCTGAATTCTAATTACTTCTTACAAAAACTGATTACTATTTTTTCACATTTTAATTTGTTCATTTCGATTATACTGGAAATTATATGTTTCGAAGGGAATGACAAAACATTATTTGTAGGAATTACGGCGTAAAAGAGTAGAGCTGAGTGTTTCACTCAGAAAACAAGCTCGTGATGAGCAACTTTTGAAGCGCAGAGCTCTTTCTCCGGATGAAAATGATGAGGTACAAAAAGAAACTGAAACACCAAGACCAGAGGAAATTGTGCAGGGTAATAAAATTAAATAATTTTTAATTATATACAAAAACTACATATTTCCCTAATTGAATCAAGCTATTCATGTTCCAGCCATAATATTGTAGACTAGCTGTTCTCCGCTACTTCCCTCACATGTAAATTAGGGTTTTAATTATATTGCTCAGAACTCTAATTCTTTTTCTCAACTATAAGTAGCCTAAGTTACTTCTTAGAACATCAGCTATCTGCCAGTGGCAGTCCCGTCGAAATCGGTCCGTTGAGATTAGCTCCTATCTGGTAGAGCCATGCTACAGCTATATTATGGTTGTAGCAGGAATGGGTCGGCTCGAACGGGGAAGGACCACACTCTCACAGAAAAACAGCGTAAAATCAGCTTAACGCTGCTGTGTTTGGTATGGTGAGTGTAGAGAACCGGAGACCCTTTTTACTGGCAAAGAGGCATTCCATCTTAGTCCTCACGGGTGATAACGCATCTGCATCTTGAGTCTTTTTTGAGGATAGATGTAGATGTCTATGGGTCACAGTAACCACTAACCATCAGGTGGACTGTGTGCTCGTTTGTCACCCGATCCTATAAAAAAAAAGCTGGAACAAATAAACAGACAGACAGACAAAAATTTTAAAAATTGTGTTTTTGTTATAAGTATTGTATATACATTCCAATGTGTAATATATACTGTTACACTCCATCAAAAGCCCACTGCTTAGAGATAGGCTTCCCATAGATTGCCTCATTGGACTCAAATATCCCCCATTTGCCATAGTTGTCAAGCTTAGCACGCTAGTTTGTAACTGTAATTTTTTATATTTTTCATTTGTTACTAGCTGATACCCACTACTTCATCCACATTGCTTAAACACTGAACATGTATTGCTTATAAAAATTATTGTTTCTTAAAATTTTAATGACTTAAATGAAGATACGCAATATTTTTTTTTTTAGATAAGGGGCAAGTGTCAAAAAATTAAAACTTGGAAAATATAATAAAAATCTATCCAATAGTGTTTCCGTGATGCATGCACAATTGCAAACCTCTATCATTTTATTTATATGGACTAGCTGTTCCCTGCGACTTCACCTGCATGGAATTTATTACTATTACTTTTCATTTTCTTGCACGGAACCCTAATTATTTTTCTATAATAAAAGTAGCCTAAGTTACTTCTTATAACATCAGCTATCTGCTAGTGAAAGTCCCATCAAATTATATATAACATTATTTTGACATTACAAACAGACACCTCAATTTTATTTATTTGTATAGATTAGAAGATATTCCTGCCCATCTTCTGGTTTGTTTTCCTCTGATGCACCACTTACGACACCCATGGGACTATAGGGAGTTGTGGATATTTTTACACTGCCACTACGTGGTCATAATGTTATATTATGACCATGTAGTGCTATATTATGCAATCAGAAATTAATGTGGAAAATGAAAATATTCCTGTAACATTATTCATCATCAGATCAGAACTAATATTTTCAGACAATAAAAAAATTTATACAAATAAATAAAATTGAAGTGCTGTTTGTAATGTCGAAATAACAGCTTTTTACTATATGCATATAAAAGTAAGTATATACAGTACTTATAACAAAAACTTGTCTGTCTGTCTGTTTGTTCCGGCTAATCTCCGAAACGGCTGGACCGATTTCGACCGGACTTTCACTGGCAGATAGCTGATGTTATAAGAGACTATTTTTATTTTAGAAAAAGTATTAGGGGTCCACGCATAAAATTAAAACCCATGAAATCTAATCGTAATAAATTACGCATGGGCGAAGTCGCGGGAAATAGCTAGTTGCAAATAATTAATAATTTTATTATTTTAATGTTTATTCATATACAATTATTTGGTTGTAAATGTAATATTTACAAGTTTTTAGGGTTCCATACCTCAAAAGGAAAAAACGGAAACCTTATAGGATCACTTTGTTGTCCGTCTGTCTGTCAAGACCCTTTTTCTCAGGAATGCGTGGAAGTATCAACCTGAAATTCATATCAAATACTCATGTCTACTGTCCCTTGGAGCTGTGAAAAAATCAAACTTTTAAGCCAACGCGATCAAAAGATACAGCTGTTTATGTCGCAAATTTCGATATTCGCAAGGGAATCAAAACCTACAGGGTACTTCCCGTGAACACAGAATCTTAAAATTTGGTACGAAGCAACGTATTATAGCACTGATAAAGGAAAAATTGCGAAAAACATAAATTTTTAGTTACATCTATGATAAAAATATTTTTAATAATTTTAAACTTATATACCTACGGATTTGTTCGGAACCCTTGGTGCGCGAGTCCAACTCGCACTTGGCCGGTTTTTTTTTCCACTAATTATCTTAACATAATATAACAACACTCCCAATCAGATAAAACCGTTTTTGTGATTTGGATAAGCAGAGAGATTAGTTTAAGCTAATCCGTGCAGGACAAGATCCTGCCAACTTCCTGACTCTGAGATAACTGATTGTGGTCCAACCCGGTATTCAAACTAATTCAGCAGTCATACTCGTAATATCCACCTATTGAGCGTCACGATTAAGACAAGGCCCTTGTCCAGAAGTGGAGACTAGACTAGACTTGCACGGGAATCTCGACAATTATTGCATTTCATTTATAGAATAAGGGTAACAAAACAAGCACATAGCCCACCTAATGGTAAGTAGATGCTGCAGCCCATGAACATCTACGTTATCCTTGATTCAGAATCAAAATGCATATACATTGTCACCCCTGAGGACTAAGTAAGAATGCTTTGTTTCTGGTAAAAAAGCTTTTCTGTTCTCTACACTCACCATGCGAAGCACAGCAGCATTAAAACCTTCCCTGGTCAAACCGACCCATTTGTGCCACATCTATAATATAGTTACAGCAAGGCTCTTACCACGTTTATATATATTTTGTTTCTTGCAGGTCTCAAATCCAACAATCTGGCAGTCAAAACAGTTTCAGCTCGTGCTGCGCGACGCATGTTGTCTCAAGAAAAGAACCCGCCCATTACTCTTATGGTGGACGCTGGAGTTATCAAGCCCCTAGTGGAAGCCTTAGACAGAGATGATTGGTACGTAAATGTTATATTGAAGACTGAAAGTTCTTTTGTAGTTCCTTGTGCAGAATCCTATGTAATCTAAAATTCTTGATGTTTTTTTGTACAACAGTAGTCTGTTCGCTTAAATACGGTCGCCTTTGTGTCGCGCCGCCTTGACACGCGCCGCAAACTGTTAAAAGCGCCGCCGCGACGTTAAAAGTCGCCGCGTGCGTCGTACACCCGCAGGAGAATTAGGCATTTTAAAACGAAGCTTCATAGTAAAAGGTTCTTTGTAACTGACTTGTGTATATTATTTATATTCGTATTTTATTACAATAACCATAAGAATAAAATAGTATTCTATTTTATTCTTAGAACAGAATTACATTTATTTAACAAACATAGTAAAAAAATAATTAAATAAAAGCAAAAAAAAAGATATGCGCCTCCGGATGTACTGACACTATTTTAGTGAACAGACTAAAATATTTTGCGACGTCTATTTATCCAATATCCTTTAGACATTTTATCTTATGAGTAACAAAAATCGATATCAATTTAAAAAAATGCATAAAATTACAATAATGCCACACTAATAGATCCTATGCAAACAAAGCAGGGGCGGACCGTTATTCAAACAAAAAATGTCTAAATCGACAACAGGCAGTAGTGTAAAAGGTTGTGAGGCGTCTGATGTACGTCTGTCCTACTATGGTAGAGGCCCACATCCAACTCAGATTACTGTATATATACTAGAGATAGATGCGCGACTCAATTTAATTTTCTTTAGTGTCGTGCTTTGCATAACAGACGGTGCTCACAAAAGAAGGAACTTGAAAAAAAGGAAAATAATAAACACATCTGCTGGACGTGATCCGGGTTCTTTAGATTTCGGGACCGCCCGATTATCCACCTGAGCTATTATAACCTTGTGCGTTGTGGCGAAATTTACCTTCATATTCTAATAATATTTTAGCAGTTTTTCATTGTCTGAAAACACAGATAAAATGGCATTTTCTAAAAATAAATAATGTTCTATAAATATTAATAACAATTTAAGCGTAACCAGTGACCGCTGCTAACTGCGTAGTGCGCGTGGATTATTGCGTATGCATAGAATTAATATATAAGTGCCCTCTAGTGAGATTAAAATAAGTCTAGCCTAGCGCTTCGGAATGTAGATGGAAGCACATAAAACATATCATTTTGTTCGTAAAATAATGTTCTAAGTTGCACCCCCATGATCCAACTCATAGACTTTTATGGGTAGATAATAAAATGTTGGTGTTTAAATTTACAAAGCTATAATGCAAATTGTTATAACTGTTTTTAAACTAACAAAATTTAAATATATAGCCAGCCTTTGTTCATGCTTTGTCAGAATAAAACAAATTTTATGTATTTTATTGCATTTAATTTAACTTTAAGCAAACATACCCAAGCTAACTATTATATATATAAACACCCTAGTCTCCCCCATGACCATGGGTGCTGTAAAGCACCCGAAACGTCGGGAATTGAATATAAGTTAAAAAGTTAATTTAAACGTGATAAAATCCGTAGTTTTATTTAATGTTTTGCATTCTTGTAAATGTAAAAAATAATTCTTTATATAGTCTATATCTTACATATCCATACTTGGTGATTGAGTAGATGTTTTTTTGCAGCCAAGATTTACAGTTTGAGGCAGCATGGGCAATTACCAACATTGCATCCGGTACTCATGAACACACCATGGCTGTTATTAATGTGAGTATGCTATAAATTAATGGTGGAAAACATCAGTTTACCAAGATTCGCATTAAAAATAAAATGTGCCTAATCTAGTTTGAAGATCACCTCCCTTCCTCCCACTGTTAGGTGCACTATTATTGCCACCACTAAACACAATGAAACTATATCAGGAAACACACGGCCATCGAAGTACGATAAGTACGTGTTTCGCATGACCAGGTATCATCAGTAAAACTAGATTCTGAGATGGCTAATGGATAAATAAGCTGCAGGAGTTCAGTTGTTTAAATTCGACTTTTAAAGATGATATTTTTTGCCCTTTTGAGTGAACTAAAAAAAACATGCATTGGTTGGAACGAAGTTCCTTTCGTAGTATATTATTATTGATTAACGCATTATATTATTGATTAACAAATACAAATAAATGAATTACTAACGTCTATAAATATGAAGCGTCATTTAAAATAATGTCTTTCATGGGCACGATAAGAAAAAGTGCGAGTGAGATGGATATTATTCCATCTCGCTCGCGCTATAGATCTGGTCGTGACGGAAAAATCTTACACTTTTCGCCAAATTCGTATCGTGCGATAAGGAACTTCGCTCCAATAATATCACACGCTCAAGGTAACAGCTAGAATGTCGTCTACAGAGTTATATTAAAAAAATACTAATTTTTTCCTCCCTTAGAGATGAATTTTTTCTTCAAATTTATATGAGACTACACCTGAAGCGTATTACAACCCATATATAAAGAAACTTGACTACCTTGTTGAATGGTTGTCAGCGGAGCTGCTGATCACGAGGTTCTGGGTCAGTTAAAAATTAATTATTAAGTTAGGTGATGTTAAACCCTTAGGCCACGGAAAGGATGTAAAGCCATTGGATCTGTGTCTGATCTTTCTGCCATGTAATGTTGGATTGCCAACCCATTGACTATACTTACATTGACACACTTGTACATTTTAATCCTGTCCTGCGCAGATGGCTACTCTCCATTAAGACTGCCCGCTGTGACCGAATTTCGGTCTGAAGAACTATTTATATCCAAATGAAATATATGCCTGCTACTTTAACCATGTTATGTATGAACTTATGTTATTATCCGTACACTCACACATGTACAGTATAAATAATATTAGATGTATTCCAGGGTGGAGCAATCCCGAAGTTAGTGTCGCTCCTCGCCCGAGGCGGTATAGTGGGCGAGCAGAGCGCGTGGGCGCTGGGCAACATCGCAGGAGATGGGGCTGCGCCCCGGGACGCTGTGCTGGCAGCTGGAGCCATGCCCGGGCTGTTGCCACTTATGACTCCCACTACCCCACCTTCGCAACTTCGGACAGCTGTGTGGACCTACAGCAATTTCTGCAGGTATTCTTTACACCACTTTATATCTCCTTGGTAATTGTCTGATGTTTCAGGGTATAGTCAAGGGTATATGTGCCTCCTTGGTGGAAGTAATTCCGTTTCTTTCTAGCTATTTCTGACACCATAATATAGCAGTGCTTGCACAGCTGCATTCCCATCCTGAAGGGTATAGAGCCAGTATAATTACTGGTCATAAGACTTTGCATCTTAGTCCACAGAGATGACTGATTCGTTTATCATTTTATAAAAATGTTACCTTTTTGAGTACCTTTCTCTACATTCTCATCAGTCCATAAACAGTCCGATACTGGACTTGGGCCTCCTCTAGAAGAAAGACTATCAGTATTGCTACACTTAAATGGTGTAATACACGCGAACACAGGGCCAAGTTTCTAGCACCTACTAGTTAAATGACTCTGTTAAAATAGAAAATATTGTGTCCAATAGTGGCATATGAAAATAACTTAATTGTTTTACAACTTAAGATTGACAAATAAGATTGCAATCCAATAGTAAGTGGCCACTGCAGCTTGTAGACACAAGTTACAGCCTGTAAATATACTGCCATAACAACTGGTACAGAAATAAGTGAAATTGACTTGTACAGTTGTACCACAGCTTAAAGATAGTCTAACAGTTGTGAAACGCGTTTGATATTCAGCCGTAGACGGCGCCCGCGTGTAGGTATTTACCCGGGCGGCGTGTATGTTAGGGGTTGTCACGAAATTATGAATAAAAAAAATTTAGATATTATAATATACCTTATCGTTTATTAACATTATGTGCATACTTAGTTAAAAACATTTATTGAACAAGATCATTTTTTATTACATAGTTATTCTTTATACGTGGTAGAGCCATACTGCAGCTATATTTCTGGTATAGTTGTAAAACGAACGGGTCGGCTCGACCGGAGAAGGACCACGCTCTCACAGAATAGCAGCTTAATGCTGCTGTGTTTCGTATGGTTAGTGTAGAGAACCGGAGACCATTTTTACTGGAAACAAGGCATTCCACCTTAGTCCTCACGGGTGACAACGCATCTGCATTTTGATTCGTAATCGAGGATAAATGTAGATATCTATGTGCCACAGTAACCACTTACCATCAGGTGGACTGTGTGCTCGTTTGTCACCCATTTCCTATAAAAAAATTTTCTTATACATTCTTACAAATTATACACTGCCAAATATTTTGTATGAGAGGAGGCCTGTGCCCAGCAATAGGACGTACATATATATATATATATATATATAGGCTGTAACTTTAACTTTTAATAACTCGTATAAGTAGAACAGTAAATCACCATTATAGTTGGCCGAGAAAAGAAGAGGGTAGATCTTGCTCTGGGCAAGGCATTCAGCCCGAGGAGCGGCCAACGTTCTGTGTGTTAGTTTCGAGTTATTCTTTATACATATATAGCGCAGTACTTTGGAACTTTGCGTGATTTAGGCTTCGATGCGTTGCGCTTGTGGCGCGACGACAGCGCCGCCACACAGGAAAACATCGTGAGGAAACCAGCATGTCTAAGAAATAAAATATTTCTAAGACATGTGAAGTCAACCGACATGCATTAATTGCTTCATAACCCTCTTAGAAATAAGAGGACGCCTGTGCCCAGCTGTGAACATATAAAGGTGGTCACTACACTTTTACTAGTAACCTAGTGGCGGTGTAAGAATATCCACTACCCCATATCGTCCCGAGAGTGTTGTGAGAGGCGACAGAGGTAAAATGAAACAAGAGATGGGCAGCAGAGACTCTTATAACGACTTAAAATAACGTGGTCGCCAACCCGCATACCAAGTGTGGTAACTATTGCAAAATCCCCCCATTAGACCAATCTATGAGGGAGGCCTATGATCAGCAGTAGATTTTTATAGGTTGTAATGGATGTATGGATAGAGTAACCTATGAATACATGAAATGTATGAATTGTTTCAGAAATAAAAACCCACTAGTGAAATTCGATATGGTTGCCCCCGCTCTCACTTATGTATCTGAACTGCTATTATTGGCTGATCAGGATGTTCTTGGTATGTATCTCTTTTATCTTTTAACCAAATTCAAAAAAGGGAGGAGGTATACTCAATTCGACTATATTTTTACGTGTGTTTTAACTCAAAACTTTTTTCTAGGTGAACCTATTTTGATGAATCGTTTTTAATTGATAGCATTGAGATTTGGTCCCATATAAATGTGACCAAGATGTGACCAGTAGTTTTGAGTTATCCTTAATATTGCGTATTTAATTGACTCCGATTACATTGATGATGTTCTCATTTCATTTATATTTTAGTTGGTTGTGCAAAATTTTCAATTTTACCACTTGTTTGTTGTAATGGTTTCCTTGTGACTGGAAAAAAGATGATGAAAGATTACTACCCTCCTCTTTAGTCCTAATAATGTAAATGTGCATATTATTATGATGTTTTGGAATAAAAACTTGTCATTTTTGTAATTTGTATTGACACAACGTCATTTTTCCGGACTGATACGACTTAGGGACCTTCAAGAAAAGAGCCTACTCCTTTTTAAAAGGCCGGCAACGCATCTGCAATTACCCTAGTGTTGCAGTTGTTCATGGGCGGCGGTAGTCACTTACCATCAGGTGAGCCTCATGCTCGTTTGCCCCCTCTCCTATAAAAAAAAATGCACATACTTGTTTCACTAGTATTTAATAGTGAAACAACTATGTTTGATTTGTCAACCCAAATCACAGAAATAAAGGTGAAATTTCACAGAGTAAACAATCGGAAGTATAAATTATATAATGTTTTTTTTTTTATAGGATAGGGTGACAAACGAGCACACAGTCCACAGAGAACATGGTAAGTGGTTGCTGTGACCATAGACATCTACATTTGTCCTCAATAAAGAATCAAAATGCAGATGCGATGTCACCCGTGAGGACTAAGATGGAATGCCTCATTTCCAAGGGTCTCCGGTTCTCTACACTGACCATACGAAACACAGCAGTGTTAAGCTGCTATTTTACGCTGGTATTATGTGAGAGCGTGGTCTTTCCCCGGTCAAGCCGACCCATTTGTGCTACAACTATACAGTTAATATAGCTTTAGCATGGCTCTACCATGTGTAAAAATGTAAATATTGTTTAGCTTTATATAAACATAGTGGTTATATTCTCTTTGGCTTTATATTTAAAGAATTAAAAGAAGACGTTCATGTGCCTTGCTGTTAATTTTTCTGAGGTCTTATCTTTCAATCTGGTATTAGAATTTTACTTTCTAAACAATGATTTCAAAAGGAAGGATAATAAACATTTTACTTATACCTTCTTCATACAAGCAAAAGTAGCACCATCTCTCACACGAACACACATACGAATACATGAGTGCCGCATTGCATTGGTCGACGACGTAACCAGGGCTGGTTTTCCATATAAGTATTATACATTTTTGGAATGCTTATATGGTTCTCCAAATTTTTCGTAATACATACAATACGTGCAATATAATATATAGTTAATTAAACAAAAAATAAAATAAAAATGCGTGTGTCGTGGAACACTCGGTTGGAACGAAGTTCCTTGCGTAGTATATTATTATTGATAAACGTAGGTATTATATTATTGATTAACAAATACAAATAAATGAATTACTAGCGTCTATTAAAATGAAGCGTCATTTGAAATAAAATAATATTTCTTTCATGGCAAGATAAGAAAAAGTGCGAGGGAGATGGATATTATTCCATCTCACTTCCTTATTTCGCCGCCAAGGCCGTCTACACTATGACACAGGGGGTAGTGACGAAAAAACCTTACACTTTTTGTCGCCTAGTTCCCATCCGCCAAACCCGTACCCTCCGATAAGGAACTACGTTCCAATAACCAATATAGTTTAAGATGGTATATTTTTACACTTTTTTAACAAGAGATTTATTATGAATTTTTTCTCAATAAAGACTATATATCCAAGTATACGTATGTAAAATTACAGCTTAATTCATTTCGAAACAACTGAAATATGAAGTTTTGAGACGAAACACACCCGATTTTCCCATAGTGCGGCGGGGGGCGCATATTCATAGTTAGCCTAGGGCTGTATGAGTGATAATCATACATAATACATACATAAACACTCACACCTGTCACCCAGAGGGGTAGGCAGAGACTATGGACTTCCATTTGGCACGATCCTGATACACCTCTCTCGCTTCCTCCACATCCATATACCTACGCATACACGCTCGTCGGTTAAAGGTACTCATAATTTAGCCCATTTTCAATATATCGCCAATTTGATCGATAAACTTTCGCCTAGGGCGTCTCTTCCCGACTCTGCCGTTCACCTCTGTAACATAAATTTGCTTTGTCACTCTTTCCTCATTCATTCTTTCTACATGAGCAAACCACCGAAGCGATAATCCTTGAGTGACAATCCTTACCAATAATAATGACTACCACAGCACAGGTTCTCTGTCAGGTCCTTGATTACTTTTGTACATGGACATCCTTCGCCATAGGGCCTTCTGTAATAGGCCAATATGCGTTTACATTTTACACTACTTCCGGGCACTGGTTTGGATATCCCTAACATATGGGAGGGATATATATCTAGAATATAAAATTGTTAGACCGCTATCTAATGGAGACCAAAACCTTCCAGGGATTTTTCATAGTCAACACTCAACATCCACGGGATTTCATTTCACACACTGACACTATATTTTGCACGCTTCATAACGCGAAGCGTTATTAGGTGTGTTCTACTCTCGACACGCCAAGGTCAAGCAAATTTGTGTTCTTAAAATGCCTCTACTATAATCATATTGCACTTATACGATAATTTATGTGTAGCCGTATATCAAAAAAAGCATTAATTAATTCATCTTATATTTGTTAAAAAATCATTTTATATTGCTACTCTGATAAAAAAAAAATCTGTATAAAAAATTACGTGGACTTCAGGATGTTGATTTTGTATGTGGTCACGATAAATCGAAAAAATTGACTTATCCAAACCGGGTTTTTTTATTAGCTTCAGAATTACATCAACTGGTTTCTCATTTCATATCAAAAGCCTAGTACGCGTCGTTTGTTAATATAATGATTTTCAAATTTTATTGCTATTAACAATTTAAAGCTTTAATTTTTTTCTTTAGCCCTTGATACACGAAGGACAAATGAACCATACAGCCTATAACGATTTTATACTTTGTGTAATAGGTTTATTTTGGTAAACATTATTTTTTCCTGTAGGTAACATTAGTTGTTAAAATAATAGAGCTCTAAATTTAATACACGTAAATAATATATTTTAAAAGTCAGTGTTCGCGCCAAACACTGTTATCGGAATCGACGTCTAGGGGGCGCGCCGCTCTGGGCCATACCGGTTTTTGACGTCGGCCGAGCGGTGGGCTGAGAGCGCGTAAAGGCGAAAGGGCTGTAAGCGGTGCTGACGTTAGCACGCTGTCAATTTTGTCGGGAACTCGGAATAATTAGGCACGGCCCGTAAATATACGGTCTAGGATTTGTGACGCGTATTCCTAGCTGGAGAGCTTCCCAGGGACTTATTGGGTCCGACTCAGAATCTGTATAAGTGCATTCGGCAATATTAGCTAGTGCGGTCTTTGATATTCTAGAAATAACTGTTGCTACGCGAAACGGTAGTGACCTTTGATCCGTAAACTCCGTCATCGTGACGAAAGAGGAAAGTGACTGTGGTCAACCTCGGAAGGCCCCCGCAAGTTGGAGCGGTGTCGACGCTCGGGCTGCTGCCGACGGCCAAGGTCTAGGTTCAATCACCATCAGTCACACCCAGATACACATCACATCACCTGATTTCCCTTGCACTACACAAACACATGCGACCAGACCGACTTCGGAGGGACCAGGCGCCTTGGATATAGGTAAGTAAGCTCCGTCTAATTCCTGCCGGTCGACTGGCCGTAGTATAGAACGCTCCCCCATATATTTTAGTGTAATTAGAGAGATTCCACGTGGCCACATTGAGGCCCGACATACGTCTGCTCGGGAAGTCTTCTGCTCATGGGCCCCGGATGATTTGACCCTTTAAGGGAGCAGCCGTAGGCCGTAACAGTCAGGAATACAATTTATTTTTTTCATCAAAATTAAATGTAGCATGCACTTTCGGATTTTCCAAACTATTTTCATTTACCTATAGAAGAAAAGGTAGTGCATGGTTCACCTGAAGGTAAGTGCCATATTATGAGATATGGCCCATAGACTAGTTGTGTTTAGACAGTATGTAATTGATTTCTCAAAAATAGCTATAACAATTGGATAGAATTTTGTGTTTAGAAAATGTTTAATTTTGCAGTTTATCAAGGTTTCATCCTTAAAAGTATTGTATTTTATTTCCTACGCAAGTTCTATTTCATCCCTTATGACTAAAATGTAGTGTCGATACCTGTAAGCTAGTGAATTTTATTTTTTATTTTTACCACTTTTATCATATTCTTGCATTGTCATCCAAATTTGAGCTATATTCAAAATTTCAAGTTTCCAGCTCATGGCAACATTAGTTAAAAATCAATTACTAAATTCCATCTGGAACGACAGACAAACAAGAAAGTAACTTATTAAAACTAGCTGTTCCCCGCGACTTCGCCCGCGTGGAGTTATTTTTCGCGGAACCCTAAAATAAAAGCAGCCCAAGTTACTCCTTATAACATCAGCTATCTGCCAGTGTATATAAATATTGACAAATATTGAAATTAATATTTATACTATACTAACGTCACTCAATTGTTTTGCTTTCCCAGAACCCCTCCACTAACACTTAAACTTTATGGTATGGTTTTAAAGTTCAAATTTGCTTAAGTATTATTACGAATCTTTTGTATGGGAATATAGAAAAGTGTTGTTTTTAGACTTTTTCAGTCAATTTTTTAAATTTTTATCTCCGTAAGAACCATCTTTGTACTTCAAGGAATATTATAAAAAAAGAATTAGCGAAATCGGTTCAGTTGCTCTTGAGATTTGCGCTTAGCAACACATTCAGCGATTCATTTTTATATAATAGATGAGGTAAAATTGTTCGCCGGTTCTAGTTACTCAACATTCCAAAAACACAATAGCATTATGCTGCTATTTTACACTGGTATTCTTTGCAGTTATGGTAATCCTCTGGTCGAGCTGACCCATTCTGAAAACATCACATACATGTAGCTGTAATGTGGCTCTACAACATACAAATGTCACGTATTCATATAATATGTTTGTTTCAGCTGATGCATGCTGGGCTTTATCCTATCTAACCGATGGACCCAATGAACGTATTGAGGCTGTACAGAACACACCTCACCTCCTGCCTCGACTCACCAAGCTTCTTGATCACAAGTCACCAGCAGTCAGGACCCCGGCTCTGCGAGCTATTGGCAACATGCTCACTGGCGCCGATGAACAGGTATTTAATGTATTTTTTAATATAAAACAGGTGACAACTGAACTTATTGTCCACCTGATGGTAAGTGGCTACCTCAATTTATAGACATATTGTATAGCTGTGTGCGCGTGCGCGTGCGTGCTCGCGTGAGTGCGTGCGTGTGTCCGTGCGTGCGTGTGTCCGTGCGTGCGTGTGTGCGTGCGTGTTCGTGTGTGCGTGCGTGTTCGTGTGTGCGTACGTGTTCGTGTGTGCGTGCGTGTTCGCGTGTGTGTGTGTGTGGGTGTGTGTGTGTGTGTGTGTGTGTGTGTGCGTGTGTGTGTGCGTGCGTGTGTGCGTGTGTGCGCGTGTGCGCGCGCCTGTAATAGGCTATAAGGCATTTCATCTTATCTGTTTAAAAGGCGAGCTTAATGCTATATGCCATTCTCTAACAGCTAACCTTGGGTAGAACAGATAGGTAACTACTAAATTACTCCCAGAGTGATAAGAACACTTGTTGTACCTTTTTTTTTAATAGAATTTGGGTGGCAAACGAGCACACCGTCCACCTGATGGCAAGTAGATGCCGTGGCCCAAGGAGGTGGAGTTATAGCCGAAATTAGGAACCTTCAAGAAAAGAGCGTACTCCTTTTTAAAAGGCCGGCAACGCATCTGCGATTCCCCTGGTGTTGCAGTTGTTCATGGGCGGCGGTAGTCACTTACCATCAGGTGAGCCGCATGCTCGTTTGCCCCCTCCTATAAAAAAAAAATAATTTAATTTTTTTTTTATTTTTGGCCATTTTGATCCACTAGGAGTGTAATGAGAACTTTTTGCCCAAATTCAACCATGACCCCCATAACATCCTCTACATGATAGGCTATTTAAATTGACTAAAATTCCTAAAGTTCGAGCCACCCCCCCAACTCATTTCTAGTCTTTATTTCCAATTAATGAATGCACATTTTAATTTCTATTTGTTTTAATTTTACAGACTGATCGTTGCCTTGATGCAGGATGCTTAGATTACCTTGTGAATCTCATGCGCTGTGGAAAGTTCTCGTTGATGAAGGAAGCATCATGGGCCGTCAGCAATATTCTCGCAGGAACCCAGACGCAAATCCAGCGTGCTATAGATAAGGGCCTGCTTGGACATTTGCTTCATGTCTTGGCTTGTGAAGATATTAAGTTAGTATTGTGTTTTTTATTTGATTGGTTTTAGTTCTAAAATTTTCTCGAATTTCTTGAAAAATATGAACAATGTTCTTTAAAAATACATGCATAAAATCTAGATAATTACTTAAAGATGTTTGTTAAACAAAGTCTCTGACTGGGAGTGACTAAATTTATTCCAGTTTAACTCACGAAAGACAGGTTTGCAAGTTACTGCAAAAAAGAACGTCTTACCTCCTCAACTTCAGGGCACTCCTCTTAAAGCCTCCGCCAGCATCGGAATCCTTGGCGTTGACATTTTGAAAGATGTACAGTTCCGCAGTTTCTCGGAAGGGAAGGTGTGCTCAGTAGACCAAGACAGCATTTCATCTGAGCCCACCGCTTGCAGCTTTACGAAGCGCAGATTCAGTCCAATATGGATTACTGTTCTCATATATGGGCTGGGACCCAATATTAGCTTATTCCATTTGAACAGAACTCGCAATTCCATCCTCATCATCTCAATAGTCTGTGGTCTACTACCGTGCGATTTACGTGGAATTTTTTGCCTAGCACGATCATACTGTGGAATTTCCTGTTACCAGTGGTTTTATAGGACCAATACGACTTAGGGACCTTCAAGATAACAGCCTACTCTTTTCTAAAAGGCCGGCAATCCGCATGCAATTCCCCTGGGTGCAGGTGTTCATGGGTGACGGTAATCACTTACCATCCGGTGAGCTGTATGCTTGTTTGCCTCCTCTCCTATTAAAAAAATCAATATGAACAAAAATCATCTTACAAGAATACTTATTGAAAGTAATTTTTTACTTTTACCACTGGTTCGGAAAAACCTTTGTCTTGGATAGAACCAGCAAGAAACCCAGCGGGCCTTTTTTTAAATAAAATGAATTTACAATATATTATTTTATACAATTAGTATGAAGACATAAACAGCATGGTAGTGATTACCTCAATTCCCATGGGTTATTATCAATCATGTACTCTTTAGTAGTATAATATACTACTAAAGAGTACATAATTATATTATAACCCTTACTAAACAATTTTTGCTTAATAAAGATTTTAAACTTTTTGATAGATAAGGCCTGCATATTTTCTGGGACTTTGTTTTAAAATCGTATACATTGCCCCAATGAAGGAATTACTCACTCTTTGGGAGTCGAGTAACTGGTATAACTAACTTGTGCTTGTTCATTGTATTTACATATTGTACATCACTATTTTTGTTTTTGGGTACATACATTAAATTTTCGTAAATATATTGAGAGGCCAAAGTTAATATATTTATTTATTTTAATTTTTCTCCTTTTAATTTATTCTTCGGATTTATAAATTGCTCTTATGGCTCTTTTGCAAAACAAAGATATTTTCAATGTCAGTCGCATTACCCCATAGCAATTCAATTCTTATTAAATAATTTTTTATTTGCTATTCTTGTTGTACATTAGGTCTTAATTTAAAAAAAATTGTTGAAAACAAGAACCCTGCAAGGACACCACAAATATTGGCAATTATTAATATTATTATTACATTAACATTATAGTATTATTAATAAAATTATCATTTAATGAATATTTACAATTAACTCAAATATTAATGAGATCATACTATATTGTTTATTCCTGTTTCCAATTTCCTACTCAGTCACTAAAAAAACAAGCAAGATTTCATATGACATTATGCTATAAAAATAACTAAAAACAATCCATCACAAAAGTCCCGCTGGGTTTCTTGCTGGTTCTTCCCAGGACGGAGGTTTATACCGAATCAGTGGAAAATAAAAAATTACTTTCAATAAGTGTTATGTAATAATCAATATTGAATAAAAAATTATTCTATTCTATTCACTTATCTTTGTATAGACTGTATGCTCCATTTCCATCTATCTATCCATTACAGCCTCTAAAAGTCTACTGCTGAACGTATACCTCCCACATAGATTGCCTCATAGGGGGGATTTTGCTATAGTAGCCATGCTTTAACATGCAGGAGGACTGACAACCGCAGCTTTGTATTATTCTGAGGTGTTATCAGGAAGATGTTGCTGCCCATCTCCCGTTTCAGTTTCCCTCTGTCGCCTCTTACGATACCACGGGACGATATGGGGGCTGTATGCTCTAGTTAAGCTCATAAATCTTTATTTCAAATTATTATGAATGGCAGCAAAGAGGAGAACTCTTCCCGCTTCATACTCTTAATTATAACAGGACTATGCGTACGTGGTAGAACCATGCTGCAGCTATATTAGTAGTATAGTTGTAGCACGAATGGGTCGGCTCGACCCGAGAAGAACCACGCTCTCACACAATACCAGTTTTAAATAGCAGCTTAGCACTGCTGTGTTTCATATGGTGAGTGTAGAGAACCGGAAACACTTTTACTGGAAAAGAGGCATTCCACCTTAGTCCTCACGGGTGACAACGCATCTGCATTTTGATTCGCAAAAGAGGATAGCTGTAGATGTCTATGGGCCACAGCAACCACTTACCATCAGGTGGACTGTGTGCTCGTTTGTCACCCTATCCTATAAAATAAAAAAAAACTATATCAGGACTATACCGGGAATATATCTATCTGTGGGATTTTAAAAGACTAATTTTGACTTTAAAAGGTGTCAAAAGGAAGCAGCTTGGGCCATCACAAACCTGTGCCTTGGTGGTGCTCCATCACAGCTAGACGCTCTGATGTCTGTCGGGTTCCTGGAACCTTACTGTGCACTTTTGAGCTCACCGGATCAGAGGGCTGTTACCGTTGTGCTGGATGGACTTAACAATCTTTTGGAGGTAATATTGTGACATGTTTTATCATGAAATAGTTTTCTTGTTTTGTAAAATTTATTTAATTATTATATGGGCAACGAAACAGTTAATAATCAAATTACAATAAAAAACACTTATATAACAGTTCTGTAGAGGTCAACTCTTGGTTAGACAATATTTATGACATAGAATAGAATAGAATAGAATAATTTTTTATTCAATATAGATCACGTGTGTAATTCTTATTGAAATTCATACTTAATTACATTATACATAAGTATACCTAATTATCTATAAATAGTATCTTCTATTTTTAGGCGGCTCAAAAAAAAGAGAAGTTATCAATGCAAGTCTTTTTCTTTGCATTTTTGCCAATTCTGAATGATTTTATTAAATAGAGTTAGTTAGACCCATTAAAATTTGTAGATAAAATTCCATCCCTAATGGTGAAAAATTGGGTAGGGTAATAATAAAGTAACCGTTTAGGCAAAATTATAGTTGTTACCTTCAGCTTGTGACAATTTAGCTCCTCATAAAAAATAAATACTGACTGAGTAAAAAGAACAAAAGCGCCACATAATAGCTAAAGTCAGTGAACCTGAATACAGTTGTAATTAGACGAAATCTCTATTTATTTCAAAATCCATACAAAATCCACTACATTAATTCGCTAAAGAATTAACACCCACCTGATGGTAAGTAAATGCTGAGGCATATAGAGACACACATGTATCCTTCTGTAAGCATCAGAATATAGATGCATTGTCACTCCTGAGAACAAATTAGAATGCCTCGTATCTATAAAAGGGTATTCGGTTCTCTCTACATACATACAAAATAGCAGCATATTTTAACTGATATTTATTGCAAGTTATAATACAAGCATTATAAAAAAACAGGCCGCAGCAAAATATGGACAAGTGGAACCACTCTGCATTAAGTTGGAGGAGATTGGTGCCTTAGACCACATAGAATCCTTACAGAATCATGAAAACGAACAGGTATTTCCTTTATGTATTTTTAGACCGTAAAAGTGCATCCCTAAAGTGTGGCCACTTCTGTTGTACCAGATGAACGTTAGTGATATCTTACAACACCCACTGGATTAAAGACAGCTCCGTGGCGCAGTGGCTTAACAATGAGCCGCAGCGCTAAGGGCCGCGGGTTCGAATCCCGCACGGAACAAGCATTTGTATAGCCTACAAATAATTCTTCAGAGTCTGGATGTTTGTCTTTGTATATATACATAAATCTGTATATACATAAATTTGAAGATCCCCCACGATAAAAGAAAAAATCCTAGTGTGGAGGTAACACTTTAAAAAAATGGGGTCATGGGATCCCTCACTTACCACGTGTAGTGGCGGTGTAAGAATATTCACTACCTGATATTGTCCCGTGGGTGTCGTTAGAGGCGACTGAGGGTAAAAATCTGGAGATGGGCAGAAGCGTTTTCTCAATAACAACAAAATAAAAAACTGCGGATGCAGCTCTATGCAATATCTCCCATATGCGGCAATTTATTGGGGAGGCCTATGTTCAGCAGTGGACTTTTGATAGGCTGTTACGGTTTCAGTATGCACCTAAAACATCTACGGTCAGCGCGCCCTTACTGATAAAGAACAACGTCATATTAAGAAGTGCTAGAAATTTTCTCCCTCTCTCTCTTCCCTAAATAGTAATAATGGGTTTTTCAACAAGAACTTTGTTTTCTAAAACAAATTAAAACAAAGAGTTTAGATGAAGATGATTCAAATCTTTATTGTATTACGAAGAGAAAAGTTTGGCAATTATGAATGAAAAATGATATCTGGCAAATGTCCACCACGACCACGCTGACAGATGTCGATTCTTTCATCAAAGTTTTTAATCACATTTTGGCAAAATGACGGGTCTATTTCGTTAATCACGTCACGGATTTTGAGTTTTAAGGCCGCGATCGATTCGATTGGCTCCGTATAGACTCTGTCCTTAACATAGCCCCACAAAAAATAATCCAGTGGTGTTAAATCACACGATCTGGCTGGCCATTTAACAGCTGAATTTCGTGAAATTATGCGATCGGGAAATTTGGTTTGCAATAAATTGATCGTTTCGTTGGCTGTGTGACATGTGGCACCGTCCTGTTGAAACCACATGTCAAGATCACAAGATATCGATGTCATCAATAATAGGCCAAAATTGAGATGTTAACATCTCGCGATAGCGTGATCCATTGACCGTTACCGCATTTCCTGCCTCATCTTCGAAAAAAAAACGGCCCAATCACGCCTCCAGACCACATAGCGCACCATACAGTGACACGTTGAGCATGCAAAGGCTTCTCAATAATCGCTTTAGGATTTTCAGAAGCTCAAATGCGGCAATTTTACTTGTTGACGTACCCTGACAAGTGAAAATGGGCTTCGTCTGAAAAAATGATTTTTTCAGAAAAACCAGCGGGCTGTTCCTGAATGAATTGAGCGAATCTACGGCGATGTGAATGGTCGGTCAGCTTCAATTCCTGCACCAGTTGAACCTTGTAAGGCTTCAAAGCCAAATCCTTACGCAAAATTCGCCATGTGGTGGTTTTGGATAACCCCAATTGTTGAGAACGTCGAGGAATTGACAAATTTGGATCTTCTTCAACACTGTGGCTCACGCCTGCGATGTTTTCGGTTGAACGACCCGGTCGAACACGCGTTGGTGTTGGCGCATTTTGTACCGAGCCTGTCGATTCAAATTTAGCGACCAAATTCTTAATAGCGGTCTCAGAAGGACGATTATGTTGTTCGAAAATATCACGAATTTTACGAAACGTAACTTTAACAGAACCACCATTTTCATAGTGGATTTTAATTATTTTAATGCGATTTTCGAGCGAAATTGAATTCATTGTAGCAATTGCCAAAGCATCTACTACGAATAGGTCAAAAAACTAAATGTCAAAACTCATGTTTTTGGTGTTGCCACAATTGAAAAACAAAGTTCTTGTTGAAAAACCCTTTAGAAGGGTAAAGGCTTAGAAATAATACAGTAAGGTAAATGATAATAAACGATTATATGTACTTTTTTTTGTAATCTATTGCCGTACAGGGAAGGCAAAGGGATCCAGGCTCATACAGTTATGAATGTGATACAAATGCATTCATCTAATTAGTGAAAGCCTTATAGTATTAATAAGCAAGCTAGTTTGCTTATAAATACTCTAAAGTTACAAGCATTTTGTACGAAAAATAATCATGTTGTGTGTACTGAGTATGTTTACTTCTTTGCCTGCCTTAATGTCGGGTACAAAAAGTAAAGTGCATTTAAAATATCCTTGTAGCAATTGCCTTCTTTTAAGAGCACTCTGAGTAGGAAATAGCTTTTAGCAGCCTAGTTGATTTTTCAACAATAAAAATTCTATGCCAGACACATAAACGGTGATAGAGCCACGCAGCAGTTTTTGCTGTTGCATGTATGGGCCGGCTCGAGCCGGGTTGGTACCACGACCTCACAGAATACCGGCGTGAAGTAGAAGCTTTGCTTCTGCGTTTCGTCTGGTGAGTGCAGGTGGCCGGAGGCCCAATTCCCCCCCCCCCCCCCCCCCCCCCTAAAACATGGTAGCGGAATTACACGAAGAACTACCCCAGGAGGGTACCAGCACCCCTAGAGAATCCCTCGCTGAGCATCCACGACCATGTTATTCCGATCCTGAGCGTGGGTGCTCAGGCTGCCCCGCGTATTCTGGGGGGGGGGGGGGGGGGGCAAAATTCCGCTCAAAAGCATTACTGCTAGGGGCAAACTGAGCAAGAACACCAAGGCGACCCCTGCCACGCTATCCGTGAATTTCTGCAACATCAGGGGACTTCACTCTAACCTAAACGCCGTCCACTACCATGTCGAGACGGCGAAGCCGGCCTTGCTCTTTCTGACCGAGACGCAGGTTTCCTCTCCGGCTGATATTTCGTATCTCTCCTACCCGGGGTACAAATTGGAGCATTCCTTTGTGCCTCGGGCTGGAGTTTGCGTGTATGTCAGAGAGGACATCTGTTCTCGACGTCTCGGCAGTCTTGAAGGTTCGGACCTGTCCTTCGGCTACGCGTAGACAGCGACGACCATCCGCGCGTCTACGGGTGCCTCTATAGGTCCCATAGCGGTAATGCCGAAACAGACCGACTCATCGACCACGTCCAAATGGCTACAGATTTCTTGCTACAACAGGTCCCATCCGCAGAGATCGTGATCCTTGGCGATTTTAACGCCCACCATGCCGAATGGCTCGGTTCACGTCTAACCGATCATGCGGGGAGATCTGTTTATGACTTTGCCTTGGCATATGGTCTGACACAACTGGTTACTTCGCCTACGCGGATTCCAGATGTGGAGGATCATACACCTTCCCTGTTGGACCTTCTGCTGACCTCTCATCCGGACGGATATCTGGTTTCCGTCGATGCCCCTCTCGGCTCTTCGGACCATTGTCTGATCCGGAGTGTGGTGCCACTCACGCTCCCTTCGCGATTGCGTTCTGCAGGTTGCCGCCGTGTTTGGCATTACAGGTCGGCGGATTGGGACGGAATGCGGTCCTTCTTTGCATCCTACCCATGGGGGCGGGTTTGCTTCTCGCCGGATGATCCCAGCGCTGTTGCTGACTCTGTCACTGATGTGGTGCTACAGGGAATGGAACTATTTATTCCATCATCTGTGGTACCCATCGGAGGCAGATCTCAGCCTTGGTTTGGTCGCTCCTGTAAGACTGCATTACGCAGTAAGCAGGAGTGTTATCAAGCCTGGGCTGCGGCTTCGGCGACTCGAGATGTAAATACCAGCACACTTAAAAAGAAGTATAACTTCGCCTCCAGGTCCTTCAAAAGAGTTATTGCCAAGGCAAAGTCAGAACACATAGGCAGAATTGGCGAGAAACTAGTTCGCCTTCCTTCGGGAACCCGTGCATTCTGGTCTCTCGCCAAGGCTGTCCAAGGGAATTTCTGTAAGCCATCACTACCATCTCTGCACAGGGAGGATGACTCACTGGCCCATGACGCAAAAGACAAAGCCGACCTTTTAGCCTCCCTTTTTGCGTCCAACTCGACTCTTGATGACGGGGGGAAAACACCGCCGACCATCCCGCGGTGTGAGTGCTCCATGCCGGATGTGCTGTTCTCACAGCGCTCGGTTCGCAAAGCACTGCTCTCCCTGGACATCCAGAAGTCGAGTGGGCCTGACGGAATCCCCCCAATTGTGCTGAGGACGTGTGCTCCGGAGTTGGCACCGGTCCTAACGCGTCTTTTCCGGTACTCCTACTCCCAAGGCGTAGTCCCGAATTCATGGAAGACAGCTTTTGTCCACCCGATCCCTAAAAAAGGCGACCGCTCAGACCCATCCAACTATAGGCCTATCGCGATCACCTCCTTGTTCTCCAAAATAATGGAATCCATTATTAACTGCCAGCTCATCCGGTACCTTGAGGATCACCAGCTGATTAGTGACCGCCAATACGGTTTTCGTCGGGGTCGATCAGCTGGTGATCTTCTGGTCTACCTGACCCATAGATGGGCGGAGGCAGTAGAGTCCAAGGGGGAGGCGTTGGCCGTTAGTCTGGACATTGCGAAGGCCTTCGATCGGGTTTGGCACAAAGCGCTTCTTTCGAAGCTCCCTTCCTATGGGCTTCCCGAGAAATTGTGCAATTGGATCACCAGCTTCCTTGTAGATCGGAGCATCAAGGTCGTTGTAGACGGTGCATGCTCTGACTACAAGCCTATTAACGCTGGTGTTCCACAAGGCTGTGTGCTATCACCAACGCTGTTTCTTCTGCATATCAATGATATGTTGCTAACTGGTAACATTCATTGCTATGCGGATGACAGCACTGGTGATGCTCTATACACCGGCCGTGCCAATATTTCTCGGGAAAACGTCGCTGAGTACCGGAACAAACTTGTGTCTGAAGTCGAGTCTTTGCTGAACAAAGTCTCGGATTGGGGGCGACTAAATCTAGTCCAATTTAATCCTCAGAAGACACAAGTTTGCGCGTTTACCGCTAAAAAGAACCCCTTTGTCGTATCTCCTCAGTTTCAAGGCACTCCCCTTCTTGCCTCAGCCAGTATCGGTATCCTCGGAGTCGACATATCGAGTGACGTGCAGTTTCGTGGTCACTTGGAAGGGAAGGCCAAATTGGCCTCTAAAAAGCTTGGCGTGCTCAGCAGAGCGGGACAGTATTTCATGCCGGCACACCGCCTGCTACTTTACAAGGCGCAAGTTCGGCCTCACATAGAATACTGTTCCCATCTCTGGGCAGGGGCTCCCCAGTGCCAGCTCCTTCCACTTGACCGCATCCAACGCAGAGCGGCTCGAATTGTCGACGACCGAGCCCTTTCCGATCGGCTCGATTCATTGGCACTGCGAAGAGATGTTGCATCCCTTTGCATTTTCTTTCGCATCTATCATGGGGAGTGCTCTGAGGAATTGTTCGGATTAATCCCAGCCGCCAAATTTCACGAACGCACATCGCGGCAGAACTCCCGATACCATCCACACTATCTGGATGATTGGCGGTCCACCACTGTGCGATTTAGAAGATGTTTTCTTCCTCGCACGACCTCCTTGTGGAATCGATTACCATCAGCGATTTTTCCGGACCGATACGACTTAGGGACCTTCAAGAAAAGAGCGTACTCCTTTTTAAAAGGCCGGCAACGCATCTGCGATTCCCCTGGTGTTGCAGTTGTTCATGGGCGGCGGTAGTCACTTACCATCAGGTGAGCCGCATGCTCGTTTGCCCCCTCTCCTATAAAAAAAAAAGAACATCACAACAGCAAAGAATTTATCTAAGTTAGATGCCATCCACCTATCGGAATATGCTTAATCTTATTACCATTTATCTTTCCACAGATATACAAAAAATGTATTCATATCCTCGATACATACTTTATGGAAGAAGAAGACCAAATTGCACAGCCGCAACAAACTGAGCAAGAGTATCAGTTTGGAACTGGACCGGACAATCAGAACATAAACTTTTAGTCATATTTTTAGATTTAAGTTATTATAAAGTGGCTTATATATAAATCAAATCAATATGAGAAAAAACTTAATTTACTCATCTACATACAGTACAATTTGTTTTAGAAAAATCTCATGGAACCCCCTGTCTCAAAAAAGCGTCAAATTCTACACTTTACATTTTAATTTATACTTTTCGAATTTCTTTCTCAGTGCAATTTAAAAGTGACACAAATTGAACAACTAAGTTAACAAGATATAATTTGACCATCAAATTAAAAAAAACTTGGTTAAAACAGTAATTTAAAGAAACCTACACACACAGTCGGGTTAAAGTTTACAGAAAAGGAAAAGTTCTACCCCTATCACTTTCACAATTAAGCCGTTTAGGCTACAGAGCGTGCCAAAGAAATATACATACACACATAATCACATTTGGAAAACATCACCATCCTTCTGGCGCAGTCGGGTAAAAATACAATTTAGTTGTAATTATTATAACTGTTATAACCTACCGTCTACGCATTTATAAATAAGTCTTCAAGTACATAGATTAAATTATAAAAGCTTTTAGAGTAAGTTTTGTCTGTGCGTTGTTAGTTTATGTGCGAGTTAGAGCCAAGTTCTCATTGTCCTAAACAAAAGCTATACGGAGGCGACGGAATCTTTTTCTGCTGCAATCTCAGACCAACAAATAATAATAATAATTTATATTAAAAATTTAAAAAACCCCCGAAAAAAAGAACTAATGATCTTCAAACGGCTGAACAGGTTTCCTTGAAACATATCTAAGAACACTGGATTAAGACTTCTTTCAAACGAAAAAAACTTAATCAACATCGATTCATCCGTTCAGGACCTACGCAAACATAGATACAAAGGTACACAGATACACACGACAAACATATAACACCCCTCTGTTTTGGTCGGGGTTAAAAAGATGGAGTGCTGCGCAAATTTCGAGTTGAACCAACCCAAAACAACCAACAACATAGTTCAGGTTCTTATATGTGCGTCCAGCAGTTGAGGATTTTTACAGGTTGTTCAAGAAGAGAAAGAGAAAGGGAAATATGTGTGCGTGCGTGAGTGAGTGAGTGCGTGTCAAAAAGTCGAGTATAACTTGGGCATTGCTTCAAATGTACTCGGCGCTTCTCTCCTACCTTTCGTTGTGATGGTCGGTCTAAGGCTGTAGTAATTTATCTTCTTGGTTTTTATTATTGATTAATCGTGTAACGGATTAAAAAAAAATATATTTTATGCAGTTTTTCTTTTTAATTGCGTGACATTTTAACAGTGAATTATATTTATTGTAATTTTAAAGAAACTGTTTTTTTTTAATATGTATTGTTTTAAATGTCTGTCATTAAACTTAGGTGTGCTTAGCAACTTAATTGAAACATTTTGTATTCAGAAACAGCTATCCTATATTTTTTGACTGTTATTTAGCAAAGAAAAAAAAAATCAGAAATTTTTATAATATTTGTATTTACTATCCAACTATGAGCACTCATCTTGCATATAGTGAAAAAAGACTGATTTTTGTGAAGTATAAAAAAGCTGGTCTTTGTTTACTAAAAAACACGGTGAGCAAAATGTGATAATAGCTTAATTGATATTGTTCTGTATTTTATAATAAAAATTTTGTTCCTATGAATTTTGTTTTATTTTGTAATTAATGCAAAGAGGAAACATAAAAAAAGCGATTGAATTAACAACCTCCTTTTTTGTTATTAGGTTCAAAATCTATATTACACAGAGTACCTAACTACAATATTTGTATTATATATTATTCTTTAAAAAATTAACGACTTGAACCCGTAATGGTATTATGTCAGTCCGTAGATAGAGGATTGCTATGTCTATGTGTCAGTCACTTTGTACAGAGTATTGCATATAAAACATGACTGACGGCAGTGTAAGTTTTAAATAGTTTTTTGTTTTTTTTTTGTCTGTGCTAGAAGACTAAATACTTCTGAAAACCTTGATCGAGGTTGAGCGAAGAAAATATTTTGCCGGGTTTCCACGCTTGCCAAGTCTCGGCTAGCATCCACAAGCACAATTTGATTGCACACGGATTGTTGCTGTATAATGGTTTGAAGTGGATATTGATACGTAAAAGTGGGGCGAGTTTGTACATTAAATGTCTGCGTAGTACGTATGTGAACTATTATTGGTAACTAGCTGTTCTCCGCGACTTCTCTCGCGTGTTAGGGTTTTTATGTTTTTGCGCGGAACCCTAATACTTTTTCTAAAATAAACGTAGCCTAAGTTACTCCTTGTGAAATCGGCTATCTGCCAGTGAAGTCCCGTCAAAATCGGTCCAGCCGTTTCGGAGATTACCCGGAACAAACTAAGCTCATGGAGAATATCTCTCCCTCTCATACAGCGTACTATCAGATGGCAAGAGCCCTCCGCATAGACGCTATCTCCCACACCCCCTCTCCCGTCCCGACGGTACAGTTGCCTTCAAGGACGAAGAAAAGGCTGAGTGCTTTGCAGATAGCACTGCCGCACAATGCTCTCCTAGCTCTCAACAAGCCCTCACACGTCCAGGCAGTGGAGGATGAGGTCCGCCGTCGGACCTCCCCCCTCCAGCCTCTGACCCTATCACGGTATCCAATGATGAGATTTCATCCCTCATCAAAGGACTTAAGCCCAAAAAGGCTCCGGGCGCGGATGGCATCTCCAACCAAGCCGTTAAACACTTTCCTGAGCAGGTGTTAACCCTTTTAACTATTATCTTCAACGCCTGCTTCAATCTTAATTACTTTCCCACTACGTGGAAAGAGGCAACTGTCATTGGTAGTCCCAAGCCAGGAAAGCCTCTCAACCTCCCCTCCAGTTATTGTCCCATTAGCCTCCTCAAGGTCATGAGCAAACTCTTCGAAAGAGTCATCCTAACTCGCATGAGGCTCCATCTGTTTCCCACAGACGGTGATCTTCTTATCATCCCCCGTCAATTCGATTTCCGAGCGAAACATTCTTGTCCCCCAACAAATTCACCGTATTGTGGAATATATCTTCAGCGGTTTTTATCCTCGTCGTCATAAGATCATCGCGGTCTTTTTCGACATTGCCAAAGCATTTGATAGAGTCTGGCATGAAGGCCTTATCTACAAATTATATAAAATAGGTCTCCCCGATCGTCTAGTACGTCTCGTGGCCTCTTACCTGCAGCATCGTACCTTTCGTTTTAGACACGAAGGCACGCTCTCTTCTCAGCGCCCCATCAAAGCTGGGTATCCCTCAGGGCTCAGTACTAGCTCCCCTCCTCTATATTCTGTTCACCAACGACATTCCCATTCCGTCGAAAGGTGTTCGCAGATGACACTGCCATCTACTGTAAAGGTACCTCGCTACCTTTCATACGGAACAAGATCCGAAAGTCAGTTGATGACCTAGGAGCTTGATTCCAAAAATGGCGCATCGATGTGAACCCGGAGAAGAGCTCCGCCGTTCGCTTCGATTATACACGACGCCGTCTCAAAAACACTCCACCAATACGTATGCTAGGGACCCCTGTCCCCTGGCATACGTCTGCCAAATATTTAGGCGTCACCCTTGACACGAGGCTCACCTTCGGGCCCCATGTCAAAAGAGACGGGTTACGTCACGCACGTTTTTATCTGAGTAGGCTCAACAGTATGTTGGATTGACACAGTAAAATGTCCTTCAGAAACAAGCGAACCCTTTATAAGGTCTGTATACGACCAGTTATGTCTTACGCGGGCCCTATTTTTGCTCACGCTGACCCTAAAATTATTAATGAACTCCAAGTAGTTCAAAACCTTTTCTGTCGTCGAGCTACGAACGCACCTTGGTATGTCTGTAATGCTGACCTCCATCGGGACTTAGAGCTCCATACAATCCAACAGTTTCTAAAAACACTCTGAGAACTACTTCAAAGTCTCAGAGTCTCATTCCAATCATTTTATTCGTGAGGCAGCTACTTATGCAGCCCCACTCCCCTCTCGCTATCGAGTCCGCAGGACGAGAAACTCACTCTCGGATCCGCCAAATAAAATTTCAACCGAGCTGAACTGCCTCCTGGCGGCTCAGGCCGATTCTTCTTAAATTTGCTTAAGTAGGCTCTCCCTCAGCGGCTCATAGCCGCCTGCGCCCTCTTTTCCCAAAAGAGGGTTAATCAGCCAATTGTCAGTCCCACAGGCGATTTTTAGTGGGTATCATTTAGGCTCCCGGTTGGGTTATACACAGTGAGTCCCACATAACCACGACAGACCGGCTGTCGTGGTATGCATAAAGCATTTACCGCCTTTTTTTATTATAGAAGTGGGGGCAAACGAGCATGCGGCTCAACTGATGGTAAGTGACTACCGCCGCCCATGAACAACCGCAACACCAGGGGAATTGCAGATGCGTTGCCGGCCTTTTAGAAAGGTGTAAGCTCTTTTCTAGAAGGTTCCTAAGTCGTATCGATCCGGAAAATTCGCTGGTGGTAATTGATTCCACAAGGAAGTTGTGCGAGGGAGAAAACTTCTTCTAAATCGCACAGTGGTGGACCGCCAATCATCCAGATGGTATGGATGGTAACGCGAGTTTTGTCGCGATGTGCGATGGTGAAATTGAGCGGCTGGAATTAGTCCGAACAATTCTTCAGAGCACTACCCGTGATAGATGCGATAAAATACGCAAAGAGATGCAACATCTCTACGCAGTGCCAGTGTATCGAGCCGATCAGAAAGAACTCGGTCGTCGACGATTCGAACCGCTCTACGCTGGATGCGGTCAAGTGGAAGGAGCTGGCACTGGGGTGCCCCGGCCCAGAGATGAGAACAGTATTCCATGTGGGGCCGAACTTGCGCTTTGTAAAGTTGCAAGCGATGTGCCGGCATGAAATACTGTCTCGCTCTGCTGAGCACGCCAAACTTTTTAGAGGCCAATTTGGCCTTCCCTTCCAAGTGACCACGAAACTGCACACTATTCGATATGTCTACGCCAAGGATTCCGATACTAGCTGAGGCAGCAAGGGGAGTGCCTTGAAACTGAGGAGATACGACAAA